GCTTCATAGCCTACTGACATGAATGGTCATTACCATTCTTATTATGTGATGCAAGTAACAGAAACTTCATTAGTTAATGAAATTATTGCAAAAGGACTACACAGATATAAAACCATATAGTAGTTTAATCACACAGCATCACTTATTTCTTTCAAGTGCTTAAAATGCACAATATGACAAAACACAGGCAATGGGAAACTTCTAGTAGTTCACTGGATCACAGATTTAAAATGCATTTTGTTCAGCATCACAGAACAGCCTTCCGTGTATTGGAGATTCAAAGAAGGAAAAATTACACCTACACAGTAAATACCTCATCAAATATGAAGAGGCTTGGCATTTACTTTTAGATATTTATGCAAACCGAGAAAATAGTGTAAATTGTTTTAAGAGATACTGAAAGTATACTTAACTTACTCTCTTTGTTAAAGTTCTACAGCAAGAAAAGTATCAACTTCAGTTATATCACTGTAGTAGAGAAAGAGATCTAGGCAATTGATTTGCTCAAGTCTGCAATGAAAATACTCTAGTCTGCAGTGGCACCTTTTCTGAAAGTAAATGGAGATTATTTTATGTAATGGGTCAAAACAGATGTCCTGCACTATGACCCACTTCTCCATAATGGTGTTAAATCTGACCAAGAAGGTTTTTAGTTGGTTAGGTATTTTTCTTGTTTGTTTTTTGTTTATTTTCCCCCTTTTTTTTGTGTATCTATACTTAAAAGCACATTTTTTACAGGTAAACTATTAAGAAAATAATCTGTAAAGCTGGCTGTTCAGATGCTGAAAAGACATTACTGAAGATAAACACCGAGTTGTAATAAAGATTATGTTACAGGTACTGCAAGGTTGTTATAAAATCACTGAAAACTTCTGAAACATTTTCCATATTTCTCTCTTATATGCTGTGTATGAAGTCCCCTTCAACAGAAGTCATGTTTTGCCACTACTACCAAAATTGTCCTTGCAGAAAAGGTATTTTAACATGTTACTATAAGAAGAAAAAACTTTAATTCCTAATATATTAGAATCCGTGTCTAGGACTAGAAGAATGTATTCCCTAATTCTTAGAATAAAGTTAAGAGAATTTTTTAAATGAGTAAATCTGAAGTACAAACAAAAATAATATGAAGGTAAATAATAATTTCAGCTTTATTAATGATAAAATACATAAGTCTTGTTTTAGACTACTAAAAGACTCATAACTTAAAGTTGATCTGCTGCAGTACCTGAACTAGCCATGGATACTATATAATTAACTACTTAGGTTATCACCCTTTTTTTATCACATATCCTCCAATTTTACAGCCCATTTTTCCATTTTGTTATGCTTCATAAATCCCATTGCTTCTCCCACACTTTTCATCCATTTTTCCTTTTAGGCTGTCTGCAGAAAGACAATGGTAAACTAACAGTTTTCATCTGAACATCATCAATCAGGGAAAATAAATGAAGTTTTCTTCACTAGGAGCTTTTTTAATTAAACAGGAATAGAAACTCTTTTAAGGCTGACAAAATGTAACTGGTTTCTTGTTTGAATGTTGATTCTAAGGTTTTGTCAGAATTTTACAAAGGAAACATGTTTCAGCTATTGTAACCAAGATACCTGTTATCAGCCTCTTAACAGTGGCCTAGACAATGAACAAAACTGCTGTCACTGTCAGAAAGTCATAATTTTTCATTTCACTGTATTTTCTTTTAAAGCACAGCACTGTACAGTCTTTCCTTCTATATTGCTAACACACAGCAACACACGTAAAAGCTAAGTTTAATTATCTTCTCTACAACTAGAATGATACAGAAGATGATGGAAACAAAATCAGTTTAAAAAGCAGGGAAAACTTGCAAAACTATGTGAGATACTTATTTCTTTGTTCAGTAAATTACTGGGTGATGCTTTGATACTAGAAGATAAACACAAAACAGCAATTCTTAGGATTTAACTTTGGGCTGCTAGCTTCAGTGCTCTAACATAAGAATGTTTCTGCAGCATAAACATAAAGCATTTCTTCTGTTACAACTCTATTTTTCTCATGAGGCATTACCTTGTAGTGTTCTCTGTTTAAACATATATATCAGACCTGTATAGGTATTTTATAGGAACAGATGAAACATATGAGTTTTAAAATATTTAGATGAAACTTCTCTACATCCAATGAAGATTTCCCATCATCTCCATACGTTTTTTTCTCTTCCCTTCAAGAGCATTCATTTTTTTGGGCAATAGAATCAGCAATAAGCAGAAAAATCTTATTATTTTCATGACATTAATATGAAGAAGATAGTCTGAATCTCTAATAGTGTTTCAGTAGGTTTCTATTCTGTCTAAAAGAAGCCATGAAAAAGGTGTTTGTAGAAGACACATCATCATCTAGTTGGCACTCAGTGGCTGGATTAATATTTTATCAAGAATACTGACTCGTAAGACTAAACCTACTAAGGTAGAACTTGTTATCAGCTGTTAGGAGCTGAAAGAGAATACATTTAAACTTTTGTAAGGATTATAGTTGGTAAAATCTCCTTACAAATATACAGTTTATTAAAAAGGGGCATTTTGAATGAATACATTTTGAGGGGAAAGAAGCCCTGAAAATCTCTTCAGCATCATTTATGAGATCAGGCCTGGGTGAAACAGACAAAAAGCTAAAAAAAACCCAAACCAACCAACCAACCAACCAACCAAAAACAAAACCAAAAAAAAGCAGAGGTCAGCTTTTAACTTTTTCATTTAATTTCTGCCAAACCTACTTGGACAATGCCTTCAAGTCTGACTTGCACGTTTGAAGAAATTAGACAAGCAGTATTTGCACAGGCAAGCAGAGATGTCTAGATGGATTTGTTTTCTGTCATACCACAATCCTGTCAAGAGTTAGATTTGTGAATCTTTGAGTTTGAACACTTATGGAAGGAATGGACTTGCTTCAGAGATATCCAGTGAATTCTGCCCTGACAGACACCACCTGGTCAATGAGGGTGCTTTAGGAGAGCATACAAAAATCCTGCTTTCAATCTGAGCTGCAGTATTCATTGACAGGACTTTTAGCCACACAGAGTACACCTCAAAAAGCTAGACTAAAGCTTTTAAAATAAGTTTTTATGGCCTCTGATGGGTTTAGGAAACTTTATTCAGATGTTACAAACTTCTAACTATATTCTTAGGAAGAAAACAAAACTAAAACCAACTTTATCCAGCAATACCCCCCTCAAAAAATGTGTGCATATACGTACACACATTGAAATCTACTATACACACATGCGTAAGCAAACATGCTAACAAAATAAACTATCCATTTCAAGTACAGTTATAGTTTTATCACAACAAATAAATGAAATTAGGTTCATAAAGTCAGACTAATTTGGTGTCATGCTGAGTTCAAACCCCAAGAGTATTTATTTTGTTGACAGCTTCCTCTCTTTGCAAACTGTTTTTCCAAGTCTGTAGGAATTACATTCCCTTCAAAAACATCGTTTTCTTACAATAACTTCAGAGATTGAACACGTACTAAGTATTCAGTTATTTCAACAGTGAAGTAGCCATCTTTATATCATACCAAGTATAACACACCCTGCCAATTCTATTGTGCTTATTAATATAGAAGTTCTTGTCTTAAAAAACAATGTATAAACTTTTACAAAATCTCTAAAAATAAAAAATTCCAAAACCATCTTATTTCTTGTATAAAATACAGTGTATATGAAGAAAAATGCTGAAGTATGACAGCTTCAATTACTTTAATTTAGAATAATGTACATAATGAATTTTGAGTTGCAGAGGCAACATAGTAATGTAAAAAAAACTACATGTATACATGGGTAACAGGTTATAATAAACAGAAAAACCAGCAAGAAATTATATAATTTCAAATTTTTTTTCCTCTGGTGTACAAGTACTTAAGTTAATTCCTTGTGCTTTCCATTAAAATGCAGTAATTATATAAATGCCTACATACTATTTTTGCTGTAACTGCTTATGCAGGAGGTGGGATTTGAGGGTCTGAATTACCTCCTAATGAGGGAGAGATATGCACCTGAATTTCTGCATCCTGCACAGATTTTTAAATTGCTGAATTCTATCACAGTGGTGGGGTTAAAGGCACTCACACTTGTATGGGTGTAAGGCCTGATTTAGGTAGCATGCCTTGACAACCATTAAAAGAATGTTTTTCTGAAACAAGCAGGTATTCTCAGTTTTGATTCTCACTGAGAATACACACAGAACTAACTCCTCAGCTCAACAGGTACTGGCCATGCCCAGAAGCAGACAGTAGTCTGGGAAATTAATACTAAACTTCAGATGTTTTTGGATATGAATGGTTTTGAGAATTTGGAACTGAAGTTCCAATTAGACCAGCACAGGCAGCAAGTAAGCATCTTGTATGAATTCAGTTCTATTTGCAATACTCAGAGCAGGTTTTCACAAATGGCATAATAAATGAAAAAGAAACCAGTAATTACTGTCAAAAGGTTAAAGATACAGTACAATGATGCATTCCAAGCAGCACATTAGTAGAAAAGTAAATGAGTGCATGTCAAGCAGCTGCTTGTGCAATGTTACAGCAAGTCAAATTTTTTGAGGTGTTTTACAGTTTCAAATACTCAGCAAATTTGTAAAACTGAAGATCAAGAAACTGCCTTAACCAATGCACTACTTGTGCTACTTGATCATAAAAAAACCCTTCCAGCCAAGTAAGCACTGTAATTCTGAGTTCCGAATTTTGAAAACTTATCTTCAGAAAATTAAAACTAAACAACTGCAAAGCAGCTTACTTGTCTACTGTTCTTCACTAGACCTTATAATGATAGCCTGTTAGTTGAGCTCCATTTTCACAAGAGTAAAAATTCATTCTGTTTTAAATAAACATGGTTACCACATTGAACATATAAAAGAAGCAACCCTCTTATGCACCTTTGATTAACACAAGGATCCAACAGTGATTAGTACTGAAGATTGAAACATTATTTTTTGTCCATATTTGTACAGTAGTTAAACTATACTTTTACCTCTCCTGACATATCGGGTGCCATAGGAATGACTGGCCACAAAGAAGAGTAGATTCCAAAAAACACTACCCAAAGTGCAATGCTGCCCCAGATAGCTATATGGCTGAACTGTTAAGAAAAAAAAAAAAGAAAACAGAAAAATCATCACAAGTGCATTTTGACATCATCAGAAAAAGATCTTTGCTATATAGTATTTACAATGCAAATCTGATGTATTGGATGAAATTTCCATGACTTGTATTAATTTAACTCTGCTACTTCAATTACTTATTTCTTAACGCAATATCATAGAATCATAGCATAGTTACGGTTGGAAGGGATCTTAAGATCATCTAGTTCCAACCCCACTACCATGGGCAGGGTCACCACACACTAAACCATGTCACACAAGACTGTCCAACCTGGCCTTGAACACTGCCAGGGATGGAGCATTCACAACATTCTTGGGCAATCTGTTCCAGTGCCTCACCACCCTCACAGTAAAGAACTTCTTGCTTAAATCTAACCTAAACTTTCTCTGTTTAAGTATAAATCTTTCCCCGCTTGTCCTGTCGCTACAACAATACTTTCAGCAGCAGTATTACTGCATTTTAAGCAAATTTAAGTACAATCAGTTCAGAGTAATTTGATTTTTCTAGTTTAAGGATTACTTTTAAGTCTTATCCCAATGTCCTTCTTTTCAGTATAAAGCATTATTTTTTTGCATGTGGATATTCTGTCTTTCCCTGCAGTAACCACAGTTTAGTTTGGTACTGTGGGGAGGGCTGACAAACTGTAAGGGTGTAATATAATAAATGAGAAAAAAGAACATAGTTACTCATCATATCTTATAGAACATTTGAGAATATGGAAAAGACATGTTCTTACCAAAGTCCAATATGAGGTCTCTAATCCAGCCTTCAAACACACAGTCAGAACCACAAACTTAAAGAGAGAGAGAGAGAGAGAGGATTCTTAATTAAAACGAGAATCTTAGCACACAGAATTTATTAGCTTGGTTGAACTTTCAGGAGAACAGAAGAAAAAGTTTAATGATTTTCATACCTCATGTTTACTTGCACAAATTAAGTAAAGGAAAGGAAAATCAACCTCTTCAATTTAAATGTGATCTCCTTAGTAATCTGCAGCAAAGTACTATGTGTGTCAATGCATCTAGCTCTTTTCATGGAGCAGTCTCTGAAAACATCATGTTGTTGTCCTGTAGGACATGCTCCATTTTGGTTTAGATGAGCAGTAGTAGAAAATTCATAATCTTACAGCAAGGACTAATTGATTCAGGAAAATCTTCCTTTGAAATTCACACAAACAAAAATTCTTAGCAAAGAAATAGTTGTTAAATTTTGTAAATTGTATGTGAATATGTATTGCAAGTTTTGCTTTATGTGCAATCTGAAGAACATGAGGCTGAAAAACTGAGTCACAAAGACCAAGCTCCAACAGTTACAGCTATAGTTTCAACTCTAGTTTTTTGGCCAAGTTGGCAGCAATGATATACACGAATTTGTCTGCGGGTGAACTTCCAGAGGCCTCAGAAATTCAGAAGAAATTTACTTCAATTAGAAGCTGAAATAATTGGTTAAATATAAATGACAATGTCTGTGCACTATGTCTGGTGCACAGAAAGATACAAATCCTGCCAGAAAGCTTTCACCCTAGTTCTGTGTTTATAGTTTCAATTCTGGAAGCTCCTATTTCAACTATTGCTGCATTATTAAGAACAAAGAAAGAAAGAAAGAAAGAAACAAACTAAACCCACAAAAAAATCACAGTGCTACAACTCCCTTATATAAAACACATGTGAAATCTAATTAGAAGAAAATTAAGGGCCATGATGAGTGTTATAATTTACTTAGTCTATCCAGTTCTTGTGCTATATTTGGATTAATGAAAAAAAAGAATTATGGCAAAAAAAGTACTCATCTGCTACACCTATTTGCTCTTTTTGAGTCAGTCATGAGAAATAAAACATCTTTTAAGATCATGTCAGGAATTCTCATTGCATAGACAAAATGTATATACAAAACAAACACTGCATGTCTCTATAAAAGGAGATAAACACACTGTGTGAATATATACTCTCCTTGCATCTTAACCAACACCCCTAATGAAGTTACCAACTATGCACAGCAGCTTCCTCAAGAATGTGGGTTTTACTGCTCCCTCTCCCTGCCTTGATCCAAACTAACAGTAGCTCACTGAATCCTATCCAGGAAACAAGAAATCAAACTGGTATTCTTTATAAAGCACTGAGCTTCTTTAAAAAGACTTCTCAAGAACGGTCATACAAATACTTTCATGGCACTCCTATTTGAAATGTATGTTTGAAGAAATAATTCCAGGACATGATATGAATGCCATGTACATTCCTGACTTCCTTTGTGAATTGAAGGAAATTATATTAATTTCTGAATCCCTTTGCTACTGATTGTTTCCCAAGTGATAAATGTAGACTTCCTAAACCAGACTAAAATTTGTGGGAAGAATGAGAAGTACCTTAGCCTCATGATTTTGATATTTTAAAACAATGACTGACAATTGTCAGTGCACATACACTGCACATGCACAGATATTTTTAAAGTCTTTAATTCTCCCTTCTGCTCCCCCAGTTGTGAAAGTCTCTCAGATCTTCATGTGTTTTCCAGAGCTCCTTGAATTCCCATGCAAGAGGAGAAATACATCAATTGCAACATCCACCTCTCCCCAGATTTTCAATCTGAAGTGGATAATTTGGAAAACAAATGAAAAGGCAGGTTGTCTGGACTTAAAATGGTGAAATGATGTTTTCTTGGGGACTCTTTGCCATTCCACAGGTCAATAGCAGGCAGTTAGCCTCTGAAAATGGTGCAGTTTCAGCTCTCCTGGTTGAAAACCAGTTGCAGAAGTGACAGAACAATTATACTGACTTCTATTTTACCATTTATGGGTACAGATTGACAAAGAGTAATGAGTAGCTCCAGGTACTATACTGAAGTAATAGCAATTAACTAATTTTGGAAGGTGGTGGAAAACATAATGTTGCTACAAACGTGAAAATGCAACCTTTGATGTTTGTGAGTCAGCTGATGTCACAGATGATACTCAGATGTTCTGCAGTACTTCAAGATTTCAAGACTTATCCATTGATAGGTGACAATCCAAACAACAGGACTTTTCAAATGCTCAGTTTCATGGGACCATGCTAAACTCTTAGCACAGCATATGTAACTTGTCTTCTCCTGGTGTCAAGCTTGGCTTTTGGAAAGAAGCACAAAGTGACTGGGTAGATGAAGTTCTGAGATTGTTTCAGGAAAGAACATCAGTTGTGACTGCAGTATGTTGAATAGTTGGGTTTAACAAGCGTACAGTGCTGACTCACTCTACAAAATGAAGGCCAATACAAAGGATACTTTTAGAGCAATCAAGGAAAGGAGACGCTATCATAAAACCAGGGTTAGTGCTAGGATAAGTAAAGTTATACAACTCGTGTACATACATAAAACTCTTAAAATAACTTCTGTTGAGTGGAGCAAGATTGCAACTTCTAAAGTACAGTGATCAGTGAAATATTAGGATGAAAATAAGGTGAAAACCTGGTGCAGAGTACCACTCCCCAAGAAGAACCTGTTTTACTTAGAGTAACAGGTGATTCTGGTAGATACTCTTACGAAGTACTTATCAATATTGAGGAAAGCTGTGACATTCAGGTAAATGTCTGACTTCTAAATACTGTTCGGCGTTATGAGATCATGATAGAAATAGACCTGTGAAATTTGAGCTACTCATGTCAGGATTGAGTTATGACAATGACCATGACCTTATATCTTAATTTTATTAAGATTTATACAGAAAACACCCAGAATATTTCATCCATCCCCCTAATGGAGATCAGTTCATCCTATGATAGATTGCATGATCATATGCGACTACTGCGGACAAAATATACTATGCTTGCCTTTTGGAACAGGGAAAGGGAAGTGTAGAGGAAATAAACTTTTAAGAGAATGTGTGAACAAACAAAGTGTGCCTGAAAGAACCAGTTTAAAGGCCATGTACTGACTGGCAGAAGAAACATTTTATTTTAACTGGCACAGAAGCAGGAAATACATAGAAGGGGCTGTGTTTACTCGGTCTTTTATGCTCTTTAACCTTTCTGGTTAGCTGTCCAGAAAACAGTAGATGTTGACAGTAGCTACATTCTCAAAGGGCTTTTTCTAGAACATTTTCCTTTTATCTGTTATATTTCCCTATTCCCTAAGGAAAGAGATTTTTTACAAGAATTATTTGTATTGAAAAACAGATCTTTAGCTTCATTAATGTATTCTAGGACATAAAAGATTAAAAGAACAAAACAAACCAATAATGACTAATATTTCTGAGAGTAATAGAAGATTACTGTCAGGTGTGGGACAGATGTCATTCTGGCAGTTAGGTTGTCTCTGAAGAAACATCTAACAAACCTTGGCTCCATGTGGCTCTAATCCCTCTTCCAAAGCCCCATGATAAATAAAGAGAGGGGTGAACAGAATCGTATCTTTACAAGTGTCCAAACCAGTTCCAGCAAAGGATAGGTGTATCTTCTGCATTTTTATTAAACTGCTTTCTTTTAAAAACTGGAATTCGAATGCAAAATATACTTCAAAGCTTCTCAAGGAGTCATTCAAGAGCTATTTCCTACTCTGAAGGCAATGCAATGAATCAAGTTGTCTATGTAGAGAATTACAAATAAAAATAGAACCCCATCTCTTTAATAGTTAAAGACAGAGCCACTATAGATAGACAATAGAGCATGAGATAACTATAGGAAGACTTACAGTGTATACGGTGTTTCCCAGAAGCAGGTAATCTGAAGTTTTGCCATTGCCAAACACAGTACCTGGAGAAGGAAATAGTGATAAAAACATCTAAGCACTCATAATTGTAGTCTCTGTATATAAAATCTTCTTTTTGGTACAAAAGAGATGGTAGCCATCTCTACAAGGTACTAACAGAAGATTTCACCATGGACTCTACTAACAGTAGAGAACCATAACTTCTAAAATTTTTAATCCCTTAAAACTTTCATTGATTTCACAAATTATGCTAGGAATAGGAGCTTTTTGTAACTTCGTATATCAAAATGAGTAATATTTTATTTGATAATAATTTAGAGTAGCTTTTACAATCAGCGATACAGTATCATACCTTCAGAAAAATATGAAATATAATAGCTACAGTGTACATTGATTGTAACATATAAATAAACACAAAGCTTAGAGAATCAGATTTTCACTGATTCTGGATATTTCTGGATATAGAAATTTGTCTTTGCTTTTATCCATATTTCTACAAAATATACTCAATTTTAAATCTTGAGATGCTTGCTATGAATAACATTTTCAAAATTTACCCAACTGAAATCTGTGGATTCATATACATATCCATTTTGCACACATGGATACACACAGAGCATTTATACTAAAAATCAGTGCCCTAAAGAGATGTGTTGCACGAAATTCACATCTACTGTGGTTCTTAAGTTCAGAATTCTGAAGCAGTGCATTTATGTCTGTTTATCAAAACTTATTTTATGACTATTGCTGGAACAGAGGCTTTCCGGATCCCAGTTCTATGGAAATTTTTGGCAGACATGGGACAACACACAACTATCAAGAAGGAATTTCTCATTCTCAATTAGAAGTACTGAGCTTGCTAAATTTTCACGCGTTCAGTTTAGAAATGCTTTTAGCACTCAAGATTGTTTATATACTGCAACTAAACCAGGAGATTTATTCTGCTGTAGAGGTTCTAATCATTGGGATATTCTTTTTACTGCCATCATATAAAAAGATATCAAGGTACTGTGCATGTAAGTAAGGAAAGATAGAAGTACAAGACAAAAAGGAAAAAAAAAAGGGAAAAAAAAAGGAAAATAAAAGAGAATAAGAAACCTTGCTAATGCTGAGAGAGCATAGGAAAGGCTGTTTTTCAAAAGCTGTGTTGGGGAAAAGAGTAATAAAGGTGTTTGGTTTTTTCCAGCCTTCTTATCACCTTTACAATGAAGTTAATTTTAGTCACAGATCAAGAGTGTTCCTTCTAAAAGCTTTTCAGGACCTGTGAGGCCAGTTTATCATCCACAGAAAAAACATTTATGTACTGATGATCGTCTCTTCTGGAAGAGACAGCAGGTGGAAGTTCATACAAATAGTCCTCCTTAACCTAGCTGTCTCCCATTACACAATGAGGAGCTCACCATGGCTGCCTCCTTTGGTCTAGTGATACTAGTTGCATTCCTCGCACTTCCCTGATTTAACTTTCTCCCTGGACAGACTAGCACACCACAAAGGACTACAAGAGCTCTAGAAGCCCAAAAGCGAAGCTGAGACCATGGCTCATTTTAAAAGTTACAGAAAAGAAGGAGCAGTTGGTGGATTTACTTATACATGTAAGTTTTGCTTCTGCCATTTACTGTTATGTTGATGAAGTTGTATCAGAAGAAGCCTTTGTAAGGAGTCCTTGTCACTTTTCATATACACATGACAGTCCATGGAGTCAAAGACGCTAGTTTTGTGCAGTGTACAATGGTTAGGTCTCATGGAGCAAGTTCTGACAAACAACTGTTACAACTCTATACCTGTTCTCCAATCGCATATTTCTTTGTCCACTCTACTACAAAGCATGGAGCGTTTGAAATTTTACGTTTAGAGACAAGAAAATGAGACTAAATTGTAAACAGGAGAAAATACTCAAAGAAAATTATAGAATGAGTGCTCTGAGAGATTTTAATGATCAAGATTTGATTTTCAATATTTTAATAAATGCCTGCTTGAACTTGCAGTCCCCTGCTTTACAATATATATATAGCAGTAAAGAGCATAATGAGGATAAAACAGAGGAACAGGCATGCAGCTAAATCTGTTCCCATCAGATGTGCTGGGACTCAGCACCCTTATGAACTCCTATATGCAAAGCTGAGCTATCCCCCATTCTTCCCATTCCTCTTTTCATGTCTCAGGATCCTCTTTGTGCCTCTTTGCTAGAACAAGGTGAAGACCTGTTCTCAGAAGTTCCTCTCTCTGGCACTCATCAGTCCTTCCCTAGGAAAGTAATAGCATTATCTGCCTTCCTCTTCACATGCACAGACATCAGATTTAATTAACAGCAGCTCCCATCCTGTGCTTATCTCCCCTTCATGCAGAACTCTGCACCAGCCAGACCCACAGCAGGTTCTGGTTATACCACCTACCAATTACACAATCTCCAGGTCCCAGTTCTGCTCCCCTTACTCACCTGGCCTTTCTCTAGGAATGAAAGAGGAAGACAAGGCAATTTGTTCAGACTTGTAGAGGCCACTTGCCAGCAGGTCAGTTCTAGCCCAGAGGCTGTGAGCTGAAGAGGCTTGTGCTACACTGCTCTCACAAGTGCTTGTACAACTTAGCTTTGCCATTCACACATGAACTCTACTCTACATCACCACATATACTCATTAAACACTCTTCTATCATGTAATGCATAAATCTCTCACACGGATTGGTAACAACTTTGAACAGGGATTTTGGTTTGGATTTGGTTTTAGATTATGCATTGACATTTTGGGACCTCTTTCCTCCTGGTCTGTTTGACCCTCTCCAATGCAAACCATTGCCACTGAGCTCACTCAAATCCAGTGTGATGTGAGTGGCCTTTCTGACAAAACAGGCTGCTACCTAATTCCCTTTACCCATCAGAAGTCACTGAGCATAAAATACTCTGCAACAAGTCTTCCCCTTAACCTTTTTGAGTACAAGCAGCTGTGACCATATAATTATCTAGTCTCAACAGTTACAAAATGTTCATAAGAGCACTTCTATCTTACGTGCCAGGGCAGACTGCCTGGTTGTTTCAGGGAAACTGAGCAGACTATTAGTTTTAAAGAAAACCTGCAGCCCCCACAACATTGCCACAAACTGGAAGCAGTGCTTTCAAGTTCTGTCTAACACAGCTTTCCTCCCAACCACCCCACTTCCTTCTGCAGCTCAGGTGCCTACACAACAGTAGAACTAGAAGAGCCACAGGACTGAGCTATCCAAGATGTCCCAGTTTCCTTTGCCACAAGCCAACTTACATAGATACAAACTAACAGGTTAGTATGCCCGTCAAGTAACAGGAGAAAAGGTATACACATCAGCAGTAAAAGTTTACAAAACTAAGAGACAATGCAAGGGACAGTAGTGATTTAGGATCTTGTAGATATTTACCATGGTAGTGTATTACATACAAAAACTAGCATAATTAAATAGCAGTCTCTTTTTCTCCATCTTGTTTCAGTTTACTTAAAACCTATTTATATAGTTTAACGTATATGTACATAATATTACTCCTACTTTCAAACAGATTAAAAAAACCCCATATTAAATCTACTGCATCTACTCTAGTTCTAGAAATGGTATCTTGAAATTTAGTCACACAAACCTGTTTCATTTATAAAGCTTTATTAACAAAAAAGAAGGTATTAAGGTATTTCATACATTTCAACATGTATATTTTTATTTTTCATAATACTTACCATGCTGGAGGGCTTTTAGTGGAAACCAAAACAGAATGAATGAGTGGAAGAGGCCATTTAAACAATGAACCCAGAAAACCTAAGGGAAAACAGAAAATCCATGAGAACCATTTGCAATAAACTAGCTCTGTGAACCCTGACCTTTCTTTTTATCTGTGTGTTAAATTCACAAAATGTGTTTTTGTCAGGCCACCAGTGTGAAGGAATATAACTGACAGGCACTTTCTGCCTCAGCTCTTCATGGGTCATTTGTTTATTTTTATGCTTTGAAAAAAATGTGTATTATCTCCTCCTTTTAATTTCAAATCAGAAAGGAAATTAGAATGTATACATATGGGAATATCATCAGAAAAATTAAACTAAACCAGACAACTGGAACAATTGCTGCATTCTAGGTAGGGACTTAAAAAGGACTCTAGCGTTTACAATTTACATTTTGCATAATAAGAAATTTTGATGGTAGAACAATCAAAACCAGAGTTTTACATATACCCACCTACATACTTCCACATACAAAGGAATTAAAAAAGGACAAATAAAAGTATATATCTTCCTTATATATCTCCTTACACGCTACATTCTTCGAGTACATAGTTTCATCATAATAAACTTCCTTTGATGTATTTGCTAAATAATTCACATTTTACTTTCAGACTTATTTTCATTTGTAAAATATGCCTTCTACAAAGAACAGTATTAAGGATAAACAAGCTATTGATGCTTTCCATAATATATTGTATAAAGACATAGAAAGACTTAAATCAAAAATATGTAACTGATTTCCCGCAGTACAGCAATCATGTTTTTTCATTAACAATGCTTCAGGCTATCACAGCCTTTATTGTGACTGACTGATGTGTATTATGAGTGTTAAGGTGCTCAAACAATTGAAATGAAGTTGCCTGCCTCACATTTTCCACAATGTCTTGAAGTCTTTTGTTAGATTATACAACTACACTAGGTTGTATGATCCAATTTACACTCCAATACTTTGCACATTTGAACTTGTGCTACTCATTAACCTTTGTCTCTCCTCCTTGCTATGTCATTACCAGAAGTTTTTATTTGACAGAAAGCACAGGTGGGTGCAAGAAAAATTAGTTCTACTTTTCCATTTTCCTGACCAATTCTTATTGTCACATGCTAATCCTTTAACCTCTGTCATGACCTTATAACCTTTGATCCTTTTTACCATAACAAACATCTGCATCAACATTCAAGGCACTAATGTTTCCAAATCTTTAACACCAGCTATTCAACTTATATAGGCGGGAATTTGGTAGCTGGGAAGTTTGTAGATGTTTACTCATAGCAAGTGTTGTATGCGAATAGCTACAGAATTTCCAATGAAGTCAACAATACATCTGTGCAATAATAAAAATATTAAGGCTTATTTAAAAACAGGAAAAAAAAATTCCAACAATTGTTACTTAGGACTTACATTATTTATTAAAATGATCACAACACAACAGTGGCTCTATTAATGGAATACAAAAAGTCTGATATTTGTAAAGCATTCACTGTGACACAAGAAACTATTTTCCCTAGTTTCCTTACAGCTTTCAGGTTTGTTTTTGTAGGTGAAGTGATGAAGTGCGGAAGAAATAGAAAAATCTCATATGCTTCACTGAACATAGTTTAGACAAATAATCTATATAGATAAGGGTATTCCAGTTTTACAGCACAAGTGGCACAGATATGAGAGCTAAGTATGCTGTATGGGTTCTACACATCTACTGCAGACCATCAGATGTAGGCATTGTTAATTCAATGACAGACGGAAAATGTCCAAGTTCAACATACAATGACATTACTTGAAATGTCCCAATTATATTTAGAAAAATCAAATATAAGGTCTTATAAACACTACAGTATTCATGAAATTGCAGGTTCAGGAACAAGTTTAATTTAGTTTTTTAAAGAGATTACTTATAGACAAGTCTGGAGAAATTAATTATATATTTTATATATTAAAGTGTCCTACATTCTTTTACTACTTGCACTAGTCTCTCCAAAATGTTGCCCACTTCCCACCAAAAGTAGCCACAGATTCTGTTTGATCCATTCTGAGACATTCTAAACTGACTCAAAGTATTTTTTTCCCCAAACTCAAAATTAAACCATAAAATCACAACTCCAAATTGACAAAGAATTGTACCAAGTCACTCCCTCTACAAATCTAATGACAGTTCTTATTGTCCCCTGCAACACTTCTCCACAGGCTTCAGTAATCCATTTCCATATAACAGTACAAATACATACAGCCCAGCAACGGAGAGGTCTAATCACTTCTGCCTATAGAAGACAGCTTTATTACCAGCAGAGGAAAAAAAATTCGGGCTGGGGAAAAAAAAAAAACCCCAATAAAAAAATGCTTGCTCTTTTCCTACTTACTAAAAATGAGTGAGTATGATTTGCACCATTCACAGACATGTGGACAACTGGAAACAACAGTAATAAAAATGCACTCCATTTTTAAATATGAGCAGCTTAGAACAAAAAGAATAACAATATTGAATTCCTATTAACTCCTGCTTTAACTGTGTTTGATTTTTTTTTTAAATATACCTTAGTATTGAAGTCCAGTGCATTTTGTGAAGTCTTGTATAACTCAGGATATTTCAGCATGTTTTCTTTTCGGCAGGATCTCTCAAATATACCAAGAGTTAGCGGAGGCATTGCTGTAAACATCTAGTAGGTGGATTAAAACAAACAAACAAATAAAAATATACTGCAAAACTTTAGAGTACTTGCTTAAAGACTGCTTACTCAAGAAACTTTCATGTTTATGGTTGAAAATAACTGAAAACACACAAATCATCTTACCACATTGTAAAGACCTATACACCATCTTTCAAAAAGAATTTGTCCAGAAAATCCATTTACAAATGCAAACCAAATCTGAAAAAGAGGAGAATCATATATTACTCAAATATCTTGCAAGGTATTATAAATACATTTTTCCAGAGCTTCACAAAAAAGGTATCCCTAGAACACATTTACAACACAATTGAAAGTGTTCTGGTTTGAATCTATGTGAGAAAAAATTACATAAAACCAATCTGCATTCAAGAACAGATAATGGGCAATCTAGTCAAATATGTGAGCAATTCCACCTAAGTATGAAACATTTAAAGGAAGTAGCTATTTTCAGAGGAAATGTCATATTCTTTAAGAGTGATTTAAGATCACTGCATTTATATTGTACTTAATTCATAAAGAAATGAAAATTCTGAGAAATATGGGTGTGTGTCATCTTATCATTAGCAAACTTCTTAGAGTTCATACAGTAAGTTGCAGTTTGAAACTGAAAACTGTACCAATATTCCTTTCTCATGCATGAAACTCATGAAAGGACAAGGCTTTACCACTAAATCAACTACAACTACTTACTTAAAAAACACTATCTCAGCTACAGAGTACTTTGGACAGGCAACTGGATATCTATCTCTTTCACTGCCTAAGTTTTATCACTTTTTACTAAAAGTGATACTTTTTACTAAAAGGTTAAAAAAAATTGGAAAGGCACAATAACAGATTTTCTTATGTCTTTCGGAAGACTGCTTGCTTCTATTTCTTCATGTGTAAGTTCAATGACAAAGTGGAGAAGCAGCACATCTGATGAATCTTTATTAACAAGTTACGCTGAAACTGTATTGCCTATGACAAAACATAAACTGTAAGGTGACAGAAGTGAGGATCATCTAAACAACATTCCACTCAATTTAAGACTCATGTTTTTCAAGTGAATTTTTAGTTGCTGCTTTCCAGAGACTTCCCTGCAGTTCATATTTCATTTGACTTTACCATGGAAGCATGAATTGCTACAATCATAATGTATGTTTACCAGTATGTATGTACTCAGGCTGGCCTCCAGGTGACCAGATTCTATGGCCAAGCTCGGATTTTTTTTTAACATGTGGTGGAATGTCTGAACATGTTTGTGACTACTTTGAGATGGAAAAAATCCTGAAATTAGAAACAATTTACATTAAAAATGAGAAGTAAAATCCAGCCAGAAAATTGCTATTTTTTCAACCAAAAAATGAAAAGTAAATAGATTTTTTTTTTTTATGGCCAATGATTGGAACAAGATCACATACAAAGTCATGAATGTTAGAGGCTGCAATACAGAGTTATAGAATACACTGAATTTTCTGAAGTCTTATAATGTTAATTTTCTTTACTTTGGTTAACAGTAACAAGCAGTATTTTCTAACCTTTCAGTTTATTCACTGAAAAGACAATGGAATTACTTTATGCCAGTAGAGTCAGATCTTTATAAACTCTTGTGTATTTTGATTTTTGACTTTTGAAAGAGTAGTTATGATTTGACCATGATGAATTTAGCAGACATTCATTAGCAGCAGTTTCTCAGTTGCTGAGTATGAAGGAGCGACATGAGTGCATAATCAGTTGTTCACTACTGAACACATAATCATGCACTCAGCATCATCATAGTTTTTTGGATGCTTTACAACTAAATGTGTGAACCTAATCCAGGTTCACCTAATCCGTCACCACTGCTGTATACAAATTGTGGTCATCAACTGCCATCTCTGTTTTCAACCTTCTCATTAGAAGTAGGTCCTACGTTACTTTACTCCCAACCTAGGAAGATGGCTAGGAAGACAGCTCTTGAGAGAGGAATGAAGGAGTATGTATTAGTACGATTTACCTCCCTCCCTCTTTTTTTTTTTTTCTTGTTTGTATCAAATACTGAAGTAAATTTTAGAATTCTTAATTTGAAAGAGTTAGGGTGGTGGAAAAGGACATTTTTAATAGAGTACATGTGAGCCAGTAGCTGGGTATAAATATGTGTACACCTCATTACTGGCAATTTCAGACAGTTTAACAGAAGTACTGCTCTCTAGGAGGAAAATAAAACAGACCGCAAGTAGACATATAACTGACCCTTTATAACCAAGGAGTATACGAACCAACATTAACTTTCTGTTGTGATTTAACTAGCAGTCAAAATGTTACGAAATTCTCATTTAAAAAGAAAGGACCAAATATGTGTACTGGATTTATCCCACATCCTCACTGCTCTTAAAGATAAATGATGTTAAGCAATACTTGAAAATGTTTTGTAGTCACTTTTTTAAATAAATGAAAGTACTTAAGATAAAATTTCATTTGCAATGGAATGGCATATATGAAATCGCTACCAAGCCTCTCAGAAATGCTATGCATCATTTTATTCCTTAGAAAACATGTTGCTTTTAGTTTTATTTTGTACAGAACTTCAGAGTTAAAATCTTCAAGCTATTTAAACAGTTTTACTGTAGAATTGTAAAGAAATTCTTTAAGGCATAATATTAACTTCCTTAAGCATTTACTTTCTTCTAAAGAAAGCATGCAAGTTACAAGCATTTTAGGTCAGTTTAGTGTAATAAGGAACTGGAACTTGGTCAGAGCTCTAGATGCAAACCAAGAAAAAAATGAAATCTGGTAGCATCCCTCGGTTCTAAAGTTCTTGTTGAATCTACCAAAAATTGGTTGGGAAGAGAAACTTTTTAATGTGGCTAAAAACAATGCCCTCTGTAGTAGAAACACTACTGTTCAGTGGAATACCAGACATACATACTACTTAAAAAGACAGAGCATCTTTTAGTATCTAAACAGAAACATGGATTTTCTATTGTTTACAATAGATAGTATTTGAATGTTCACATTAAGAACACCAATGGCTCAAAAATAATTGGCAGATGTAGAGGGGAAAGAAAAGGCAGGAAGGATAAATGCAGCCCTCATCTCAAACTGTAAGAGGGGAAGAAAATAAGCCACCTACTTGCCCCAGCTTCTGAACTTTGGAGCCTAGAAAATTAGACTCTTTTCTTACATGAAAAAACTACTATGGAGTTTACTACATTATTAATAGCTACAGTGACAAGAAAGCCTCACAGTGAGAAGTTTATTCATGGAAAGTGTATTTCATTCTGATTATGATGGACAATAAAGGCACCTGTACCTGCAAAATAAGTTTTTAGAACACGTTGTATCTGATACTAATTTAGGAGCAGACTCAGCCAGTTCTCTCTTAGAGGAAAGGTCCTACTCTAACTCAAATTACTAATCCAGCACCCCTACACAGCAGAACAGGTGATAGGTGTCCTTACGAAGTAATTTAGACTATGTAAGTAAGGTGCAAGTAAAAATTCAGACCATTTTATAGCTTAACAGCTACATAATTTCCATGGAAAACTAAAGATCTAGGTTCACAGCCCTTCTAAAATGAGACAGACCTCCATGCAGAACCTTGTATTTCCAAGTTTTCAAACCATATAATGCAAAAAAGTGGACATGTGCATAATCACTTCCTGTTTTGCGTTTTAAACTGAACTTGGTGCAGTTTGCATACATGAAGTAAGGCATGGCATATTTTGAACAACAGCACCTAAGCTCCACACCTCAGAACCAGGATGAGCGTACACAGAAAGCCTGCTCACATTTGGGGTTATGCGTGATCTGGGTCTCAAAGTGACCACAGGCACTCATCTGATGTGTCAGGCACAGGAAATCAGGAACAAAATGGCAAACTTCAGTTCTGGACATGAGCAGCACAAAGTGTGTAACTCAGCACTGGGTTTAGGGTGGGGGGAGTAAGGAGAAGATAACCATCATCTGAAGTTTATGGAGGCAGAACAAAAAATGGCATTATAGCTCTAATTACTTAGTATAATTGAATTGTTTACATAGTATCACTTAAATTGTTACAAACAGCCATGTTCAAGGATCTGTGACTGAACTTTAAATGTGAATTCCATGCATCTGTTTTTTCTGTTTGTGTCCTCTTTTATTTGAATTTTCCTCTACATGAAACATGAATGACCTGTGAAGATCTTCAAATTTTATTTTATTTTTAAATTGTAAGCTTTAACATAAGCCAGTTATTTAATGTTACTACTAGTTATTGCTAGCTATCAGAACAGAAAGTAGGAATTAGAAAATTTTGTCTTTTTGATGTTAAAGGGAGGTTTGCTTAACTTCATGAAATGTATAGTTTAAAGAGAGAGTATACACAGTAATAGTAATTATAAAATCAAAACCAATCCACGAAGGAGTTTTCAACCACTAGATCAATTTCAATCCCAACCATCACTATAACATAATGACAGCCCCCTCAAAATAAGGAAGAGGCTTCGCATAAGCTTGTCTTACTATGGGAAAGTACACACTCCCATACAGGTACAGGCTTAATAATGCTGTCTATTGGAAATAAAAAGCTTTCACTTGCAATTTAGAATGATACTTCAAAACATAATCTCTAAAGTTACTGGGACTAGGCCTGGACAAAAGATGAGGCCCATGTTGAAATATCTATTGGATCAAGACACAGACGAGAAAAAGTTATTACAGAGCGTTCTTATGAATAGGAGTTTAAATGTTGAGAAACACTAATTATTATAGACCTTTATCATTTTCTGAAACAAGAAACCAATAGCACTTATTTTGTATCACCCCAATAATGTCTAGGAAAAAGGCTGCATTTTAGATTAAATTGAATCTATTACATATTTGTTTGATTAGTATTGAGCAGAGATTTAAAAATATAATATACATCTACTAAGTTAAGGTAGGTATTTTTTTGTTATTGTCAGCTAATAAAAGGAAACTTGTTTAAAGCAACTTCCAGACATGCCTTTCATAGCATTATTTTCTAAACTCCAAGACAGAGGAGGCGTGGCCACAAAAGCTTCACAGGCATTTTCCTGATGTAGCATTTCTGCATATTAAGCAGCAGCTTACAAACACTCATTGAGCTCTCTGCTCCCACGCCTGATCCGTACAAAAAACTGAAAAGAGAGATTCAAGACTGGTAGTTGTCCTTTCTAGAGACATTCAATGATGAATTTATGCCCATTCACCCACAGTATTGACATGAGCTATTAACATCTGTGAAAGTTTTCTGAGCTGACAAACGCTGGGTTTATAGGAATTCAAGTAGAAGTCATCTTGTCTTCCAGAGAAGGTGTATGTGGTAAAATGATTGTATGGATTATATATAAAGGGTCATAACTCATACAAAATGATCTCTTTGCCCTTCCATCTGCTCAGGAGATCTAATCTTTTGTACTTTTATACTTTTTATGCTATGATCTCTGTACCTTGCATTTAACTTTCTTTCACAAAGAATACAAATGGTAGGATACTTGGACCTAAGTTATAAATTTAGAGTGTGTTTGCAGGTGACTGACAGAAAATTGAGAAAAATAAGGTAGTATGCTCTAAAGCCCAATTTTGTATGTTTTCCATAAACACAAAGTATACATTAATACTGTTTTTTTCAAATATTTCAAGAGCTACTGTCAATCAGTAGTTCTGGAAGTCTAGTCATTTAAGCAAATAATCGGCTTTTGAAATGCAGGATCTAAAGTCTGCCATCACTTCTAAAGTGAAAAGGATCATTAATGGACTTGCTTTCTCTATAGCTTCCTACTTTATGTTTTTCTAAATAGGCTACAAAATTGCTACTACTTAGATTGAAATCTATTTGTTAATGACACAATAAAGAGGAAAACCAGGAAAATTTAGAAAATGCAAAAAAAAAAGTTAAGAAAAATGCACCTTTTTGGCTACAATACTTGTTTATGAAAAGATGTTTGAATCATCTTCAAATATTGCAACATAAATATCAGAATCAGAAATATTAACCTAATGTTTACATCAGTAGTAACAGAAATGAGGCATGTTCTTTCAGTAAAAACTGTATACATATTGTTCAAGTTTAAGATATTAACTTGAAAAAATATATAAAAAACTATTAGTTTTCAAAATAACTGTAAACACCATTAATATAAAAATACAGGAGACAGACCTGTCACAAAACTTATTTTGTGATCAAGCTTTGCAACAAATTAACTTTTTTCCCACATTTTTAACACAAAGTATCATTGTGAATATAAAGTTTGACTCAATTCTAAACGTAATTACTACATGTATTTGGTTATAAGAAAGTGAGCAGCTGTTGAAAGAAAGAACAGTAAATAAAGGTGGGGGAACTTAAAATTACATTAAAAAATGTAAGGATGCCATGTAGTCATGAAGGTCATGAAAACTATAGCTACACATGCTGTTTTAACCATACACTGACAAAGTACATTTTATTTTAACGCATGCCTCTCATACAACTGTATTTTTCACAAGACTCCGGTCTCCTTAAAATCACAGGTAAGAAAACTAGGCCAGTTACTTTAAGATAAATATTCCTGTTCATGAACTAGAGTCTAAGCAGGCATGGTTACCTTATCAACAAGTGAAAGGTATGTAACAGCGTAACTAAAGATGTATGTAAAAACCCCAAGTACTGTTCTGTACAGCAACAGCCCTGCAGCTCAACAGTGACCTGAAAAAGAGCTTCAGATTGTGAACTGGACAGCTACCAAAGCTCGAAAGCTGGTGTCACATTTATTTCTTGGTAAATCACAAGCACATGCATCTTGGTAAATTTAGGGCTATTTGTAACTGTATTCCTTAAATACTGTAATGATGTTACAGAATTTCAACAACCTAGAAGTATTGTGCAACACAAACTTTCAGTACTAATATTTGGTACATATTTTTAAGACAATTGGAACTTTGAAAGTTAAGAAAAATCACTAATATTAATCAGCTTATTAGAAAGCAAGACTCAGTAGAAGTATTTATTAGCAGTTTAAAAGCTTCTTTAAAATCGTATATAATAATCAAAAGCTCAAAATAATAATGTCTGTACTTTCAAGAAGTAACATTAACTGTACCGTAAAATTACCTCGATAATATAAAGGACTATATTCTTGTAGAAACAATACAAGATGCATTTTGCTACTCTGTTATAATTCCAGGCTCCATGAACCAACAACAAGTTCTTCAAATACTTGAACTGCAAAAGTGAAAAATGAACAAACATACAATGAGAACATGCATGCACCAATCTGATATCAAACTACATTACTATAGTGTTTTATAGTGTAATGACTTACCTGAGCAATAGAGTAGTCTGAAGAATTTGCAGCTTGTAGACCTTCGTTCCCACTAATACCAACACCAACATGTGCTGTTTGTATCATACTAACATCATTCGCTCCATCACCAATTGCTAGAGTTACTACCTTAACTTGTTTTTTGACCATTTCTACAACTTCAGATTTTTGAAGTGGTGATACCCTAAGAGATAACAAAAAGAAAAAATAATACAGAACATTCAAAAGAATGTACTTTAAAAATGTACTACTTAACCTGTGAAAAGGTAACAAAAACAAGCCAAGTAACATCCTGGTCAGCAACAGTTATTGCCTTTTAGGCTGTATGTTAAAAGCACATTCTCAGCAAAATTCACAGAAAGTTTGGATTTGCTGAAGCAAGATGTTAGTAGGACTGAAGCGACATAGGTCAAACAGCAATGGGCCCTTAAAATGGAGTAATGGAAGGGACCCCAAACAATGCCACTACCAGCATTAACTTGCAACAATTTCAGATTCTGGCATATTATATTGTTACGCTTTTTATTTTCCTCTCTGTTTAAATATGAATTTTATAAATAAACAAAAGTTATTTAAGACACAGATGTCAAATCAAACAGTAACAAACAGAGTGGACAGCACTATGTTAACTTAGACTACACCGGTGAACTACAGGAACCAGCTTTGAACACTGACTCTTGATCCTCCACTTTGTCTAACAGCTTGTAACTTCTCCCTCATTCTTTTCAGGACTATTCCAATTATCTGTGATTAAGAAAACACCTGTCCACCACTGAAGGGACAAATTATTCCAGGGATGACTCTCAAAAGCTCTATTGATGAAACTGTATCAGTTTTGGCTCCATCTACCGTTGTGTGACACATATGTACCTTTCATTTCATGTTGTTAAAGTTCTATTCTGTATGCTGAAATTGAGTCCTTGTAGTATTTAAGACGTCATAACTGCAAATAATATATAGAAATCAAGTGCTAGGACTGGTGTTTTTCACAGGGTGACAAAGCAAAGGAGCAAGCCCTAAGCAGTGTGGCAATCCACTCTTGTGCTTCCTGGCGCTGGAGTCAAGGTTAAAAGCCTGGCCCTTGTTTCATGGTACAAACAGAAACAAGAAGAAATGTAAAGAGCTCTGTATGTCTCCCCCACCACTGCTGTTCACTGCTTCATACAAAGAGAGCAATTGTGATATCAAAGCATGACTTCTGCTCTGGAGTTGGGGATGTGAAGTTGGTGAACTGTTCTTTCCTCATCTACCTTTCCAGCTTTCCAGATGAACTCATTGTAGATGCCTCCATGCAAAAACTAAATGTGATGGCAAGCAGAACTTGCCACTGGACATGTACTGACACTAAGATCTGGGGAAAAACACGTATTTCTAATTAATTTCCTACAAGTCTATATGCACACTCAAAGCAATAACCTGACTGGTACCATAAGCTTCTGGCATAATAAAACGTTACTGTCTGCCCAGTGATCTCTGGCATTAAAGACAAGGCTGAATGATTTGCCTGTCTTGACACTGGACAGACTGACATTATGGGTTAAAATGCGTATTGCTTTCTATTTGGACTAAACTTTTGATCCATAACACAATTTGAGAGGAAATGTTTTCATTTCCAACTGGTGGTATAAATTCCCTCATCACACTTCTTCCTGATCCCCCTCCAAAAAAAAAAAAAGAAACAGAACAACCCACCCATCTCTTTCCACATTTAACACAAAGTTTTTACAGTTAAAGAACACTGAAACAGCAATTATATTCTTTTCATTAACCACACAGATACTAACAGCAATGCTTGGCCATCGCTTTTTTTCGCTATCTGTAAACTCAACCATACAACCAACAAGTAATTACATGATTGCTGAAGCTAAAGGCATTGCCACCTGCCTTCTATTCTGCTTGAATAAGAATGCAATTAGAAAACAACTTTTAAAAACAACAACAGAAGAAAAAGAAACCCCAAAACCAGAGAGACAGCATAAAAAAATTTCCAATGTTCACATGACAGACAAACTATAATCTTAACAAAACGAAACCAAAGTTGTTCTTAGAATTGGTAGCTGAAGCTGGTGACTGAATTCATGGTGTTAACTGAAAAAGTAAATGCAGCAGAGGGGTGAAAAAGTTCAGAAAAAACCCAAAATCTCTGACATCACACTAATGATATTATGCATTATCCATTTCACTTATTAACAAACCCAAGTTACAAAAGATTTCAGAAAAGCCAACTAACAAGGGCAAAAGTAGAAACAGTCTTTGAGAAATTCTGACGAGTATGTCATTTAGAAATGCAAATTTCACCAAACCAACATTAATTTCCTATTAAAAGAAAGCCCTTTCCCACTAAAATAAAGGCTATTTAAGTTTTTAGCCAGCTAAGGTTTATGTTAATTATTCTGAAACACAGCTTAAAAATGTAGGAGAAAACAAAGGTTTTCTAGACATGAATTTTAAGTTCCAAAACACGCATTTATTCTTGTAAAATCCTTGAAGAATTAAGTTTTGTTTAAACCAGTAAATTACAGTAACAATCACAATTCTTACTTAACAGAAATGTTAAAACATTTCTGAAACTCAGACTACTTAAACACTGAGAGAGCATGCCAAACATTTCCTGGTGCAGGAAGTCAACTTACAAGCATATTAGAGAGAACTGTTTTGAATCTAATTTTAAACAGAAATGATTAAGAAAAAAACAAATAAATTGAGTGATCATTATCTGCCTTCCTGTGTAATTTTATACATTTTTATGTCTGAAATTAAAGCACACTCTCTTTTCCATAAATTCATTAATATCCTATTTGAAGCATATTTATTATTTGTTTCAACCACAATCCCCCTTGTTTCCTGTAGAATGAGATCTTATGGATGCATCATAATCACACAACTTCATTATACACCGTACTTTCAATGGTATCGGTTTATGAATTCAGTCCATATCACCAAGGTATCCTTTTCACTATAGAACAGAGTGATACTTGATTCAATTTCAGTGTCACAGAAGAAATATGAAGGAACAGTATAAGGCTCATAGCTCACTGGGAAAAGAAAAGAAAAAATATTTTCCATTTTTCTCTAGCAAATGTCAGTATTTTTCATTTTACCAACCCTATAAAGTTTCAACGACTAGATTAAACCTCAACATTAGATAGATGACTGAGTTCCCAGCAAAGGGGTACACTAATGATGGTTGCCTCTCTTTTCTAGACCATTGTGCTTAACACTGAGACAGTGTTGTGAAGGGAAACTAGGTACATGGTATCTACGCCCATCTTTGCTCACATACAATATTGTAACTACCACTGGATTCCAGTAACATCCTTGTAGTCCTTTCCATTCTCCTCTCCATTTGCCAGAGAACACCTTCTTATGGTTCACCTTCAGGTGATGTTCCATGAGTGGAATGAAAGCCCCAATCCTAATCTGTGCCAATTAAGTTAAATTTCTTAAGATTTAAGTGCCAGTAATCTGAGAAAAAGGTTGCAAAAAGTTTAACTGTGTGATTTCTCAAAAGCAAAAAAATAAAGGAGTGAAAAATAATACAGCCTTTGGACTGAAGGCAGCGATCTAATTATTCAGCAGCCTACAGAACACATGGTATCAGACTTTTGTAAAAGGTACCTGGGATGTGTACAGCCCTGTGACGAACCTGGGATGAAAGCTTCTGGGCAACAGCCCTTCAGAAAAATTCTGTGGTCCAAGTATATCAAAAAGCATTTCTGTGATCTTTTGTTACATGTTTTATTTGAACTCTACTGATGAGTGTTGCATCAAGATTTGCTATAGTCAGCTTCTATAGAAGATTCCTGACCTGAGAATGTCTTTTTCATCTTTTTAACTTTCCAAGAATGGTGGCTTATTTTGCTTTCAGACAAGCTTACAGAGGCAGTCGGAAGGTGCACTTACTCTTATTACTTGGTGCATCAAGTTCATGGTGAAAATAATAAAAACTATCTCTTGTTCATTTTGTTCATTCTTAGCTGTACACTTTTACAGAAGACAGAATAATCCATTGAACACTCTTCTTACACATTGCTCTGAAGCTGATACAGAACTGGAATTCAGTTTGTCAAAGTTTAAGCCAAACATCTGCTTGGAATTAACAACATAGAGATTTTTTTTAGGTGAAATATCTACTGAATATTTGTCAGCTTCATCTATGTTATGGCTAGTCTTAGGAAGAATCCACTGGTAATAGAAACTTTAAAGAAAGTGATGTAATTTGTACTTTTAAAACCAAGGAGTGCTTAAAACATTTACTGCCTTTATATGGGTGGAGAAAAGAACTAGATTTTCATTTAGCCAGGACGATATATATTTAAATGACTTACCTTAATTAAAAATTACCATCTTTAAACTTTCTATTTTCATGTTCACAAACAAGGAAATGAAGTTTTTGTTCATATTTTTGTTACTATTTTGTTCATATTTTGTTAATATTTTGACAGAATTTTTACTTTTGAGAAGCATATGATAACAACTCACTAAAACAGTGAGTGTTACAAGCAAATATTTTAGTTTTAAACCTGTGGCCAATTTTCATACAACCACAAAATATGTCAGAGCATGTACCTAGAAATGTATTGAAACCAGCTGACCCAAGAATAGTACGGAAAAGTAGAAATGGCAGAGAGAATGCTACTAGAACAGAAACTTTAATTTTGCACTTTTTGTTGTTTCATCATAAAAATGCTACCACTAAGAGACAGACATATGTACAGAATATCCTTCAATAGTTCTATGTGTCAAAAGAAATGGCAATACTGTCTCTTCAAATGGCATAAAACATATTTTCAATCAAGGAAAGAGAAGAAAAAGAAGCATAGTTTTGAAAGAGCCGTTCTATGCGCATCTCCTGCTTGTTGCTTACTGTAGTAAGCAAAACTGAAACTACTAGAAGAAGCACAAAGCTACAATTTGCCTGCCAGAGACTACTGTGTTGGAAAGATGTTCATACACAGTATGAACTGTGTACCAGTGTAAGATCTGAGTTTAAAAAACATTAAGATCTTAGTTTGAAATTCAGTGTCTCATGCTGGAGCATGGCTACAAAGCTAAACTATAATAAATAAATAAATAAATAAACTTGGTGGCATAACATATCGCTTGACAGAAATGAAGGAAAAACTACAAACCAAGTACTGATTTGGATAATACAACCTCATTTGCTTTTCCCTGTCCTTTTGCAAAGCAGAAAAATAGGTCCATTTTGAACTCTGATTTTCCAGATGAATCTGCTTTATCTTAATTAAGAACATTATTAAACCCTCTACCTGAACACAAGAACCTTCCAATTATTTATCTTATTACTCAAAAGCAGATAATCTATTAAGTCGCATTTACAACAGTTTTCACATTTGTACAGACCATGTCTCTACCTGCAGGCAGATAACAGGATAGGCAATAATGATGTAGTAGGCAGTAAGCTTATGTAATTTATTGAAAGAAGATTTCAATAAGAAGTGATGCTCGCTTCTGCTTTTTGATAGATTAATCACTTGGCCTAAACCAAGTTTTTTAAACATTGACAGATGCAGTTCTTGTGTATCTAGCTACCAAGCACACAAATTCCTTTTTCATTCAATCATCCAAATATAGAAATGGTGCTTAGGAGATGTGTTTAGTTTTTGTGTTTAAAGACATAAAAACGCCAGAAGGCCCCAAAAACACGTAAGATAGCACTTATGCAGTCTGAAGTATTTCTTCCTTAATATAAATCTGGAAATATTAAAAGTCATGCCAAACTGCTTTCATATTGTATATATTTAAAAAAAGCAGGTATTTAATTTTCTTTGATCGGGACAAAGTTCCTGTGTTACAGTGAGCTTCAGCTTTAACAGCTGATGTTTACAGGAAAGGATGAAAGGTCTGATGGGGTAAAAGAACCCCCAAACAATCCGTAATAATAATACTTAAAAAAAAGGTGTTTTAAGCAGCTTCAGAAAATAAAAATCACCTGGAGTAGTACCTTTAACATTTCTGTGCACTTACGCAGTGTAATCCATGACTTACAGAAAAGCGCAGATATAAAATCCTGCCTACGGAGAAAGCTCTACAAAAAATCCAAATGTGCTAAAACCTGCAGTTAACTCTAGTATCAATTTAAAGGCTAAGATTAGTGTCTGAATCTTGCTGAGACTACCCTTGACAGATAACAAATTATTTTTTCTAGGTATATGAATCTGAATGACTCCGTTTGACAGGTTGCAGACTGCTCTACAGAAATATTTTGCTTGAATGACTGTATTTCATAACTTCAGCTACTGAAGTTTGTGGGATTTTTAATATTTCATGGTTGTACAACATGGATATGTGTATTTTCTCTGAAATAGAAGTTTTTAATTTTTATATGCCAATAAAAATACTGTAAAGAAAGAATAATGTAAGCCTTACCTGCAACAAATAACAGCTTTACATGACAAAGCTAAATCCAGGAAATACTGTCTTACTCCAAATGTCAAAGCATACTTCAGAGATTTACCGTCGATGATGAGAGCAAAATCATTTTCCTTCCTTAAAGTATCACCAAGAGTACTGCAATGATGGCTAAGCGTCTCTCTTGTTCCCTATTGCACAAAAAAAGTTGTGTCCATTATTTTTAATTCCTGCTATTCGTACGTCCAAATGATTTTTTTCTTTTGTGTGATCAGAAACACTGGCATTTCATTTTTTGAGGAAATTCCCTTTTGATTAGGCTATCAAATAAACAGTATTGAATGAAAAAAGTGTTTTCAACAGCTGTACTATTAGAAACAAAAGTAGAAATGAGGTCTAGGATTGCTTTCACACTGCCAAAAAAAAAAATGTGTATAGGTTATGGTGGAACTTTTCACAGTCTTTGAATGGCAGCAGTAGTTGCATAGATGTTTGCTAAAAGATATTAAATAATAAGTGTCCTATACACCTATGCAAAGGAAAGTTCACATATATACAGATATCAGATGAAACAATTTGTGTTCACTTTTACATAAAGGGGTCTTAAATGTTTAGAAAAAAGGAAGAGAAACAGATAATTCATAATATAAGTACATGTATTATAATTGATAATTCTATCATATTGAATTTGTATTTTAAGATAAGCCCACATCAATTAAATATTATATATAGGATCATATTTTGGATTTTTCAGTTGCTAAGGACAGTTTGAATCACACCTACATAAGTCACTATTCTGTGATCCAGCACTGAGAACTTCAGATTATATACAGTAGACAATACATTCACCTGTGCTTATGCAGCAGGACTTCATAGCGTGCTTTAGGGAGGTCACTAATACTCTGCCACAGAGTCACTAATACTCTACCATAGCTCTACCATAGAGTGCCATGAAGAAGAAAAAAAATGCTTGTTGCATTTCCTTCTTTTTGAATGGTCTTCATAGAGATACAACATACTCTTCTTTTGTTCCCTGCTTCACTCACAGATCAAAAGAAAGAAGCATTTTAGAGGAGAAAGGAAGATAGAAAAAATCTGCTTCTGCTTAGAAAATACTGAATTTGGAAACCAGTAACATCCTATGACAACAATGTTCCTCCTGTGCTGAGGGAACTGGGTTGTCCAGCAGCCCTCATAGGAGCACAGCGTATTTATTTTAAAAATATATTGTTTAGTATCTATTTATTCAACTTTTTAATTATCACACCAGAGGTGGTTAGTGTGCACACTTGTTTAATGAGTTTTTATTGCACTCCTTTTAGTAGTTAAATAAAACTACCTCACTTTATTTCATCACATACAAAGTATACAAAACAATCTTTTTCACTTCAGATCTATTAAGTATTGCAGTAGTTCTGAAATCTAGTAGTCTCTGTAAATGACCCAAATATAGATCAGAAATAGCAGCATAGAAATACTGCAGAAATACTATAGAAAGTAGTAAGTATTTTAATTCGTATTGTAGGCTACTCTTACATGCTACTATGCAATCCTTCAGTTAAGGCACTCTTCGCATACTTTCTTTTCACTTTCTCTCCATAAATCCTATCTTGAGCAACCTGACCACAATATAGAGTAAACTTCATTTCAAGTTTTCCTCCTGAAGTCTTCTGGAGAGTGAGTTTTCCCACTGAGGAATTTCCTCCACTTCCAAGTTCATTTAAGGCCCCCTTAGAGAGGGTGGTAAAATGATTTCTTTCCCCTCATGGGATTTTTCACTTAATATTACATTCCTGCCTTATCTGAAGAATCTCTTCTCTACAAAGCAGTATTCTTGAAAGTTTGTAGTTTTAACCCTTACTTGTACTTCAACATCTCATTACAATTTCAGCTGTTTAACCATACAACTACAATTAACTTTTGTCAAATAGTAAGTATTCCACAAGAAACAGCATTAGAAAGGAACTTCAATTAGCTTGTTTGGGTACTGCTAGGTACTACTAGAAGCACGTGAAGCTCCTGGCTTTGTGCCTACATGGACAGAGCCATTTCATTATGTGAAATTTGTTTGCGTATCATTCTGAAGTTCATTTGTGTAGTAGTTACACTGTGGTTTTGGAAGGTGTAGATAAGTTTCTATTTATTAAGTAACATTTTGTCACGAAGACCATACAGTCTTCCAAGTATGCAATACTAAAATTAACTCAAATTTTCTCAAAACAAATGAAAAAGCAACCTCCCAAACCAAAGAAACAGAAACACCCCACCCAGTTGTGGTTTAAGCAGAATTTTCTGTGTTTGTCCAGATAAAGAGATGCTCCATGTTATTTTTCAGGCTACCTCCACCATGACGTCAGGATATTCTAAGCAGTAACATTAAGTGGTTTCATTAACTGGAAACTGCAGATTTTACTTACATCAAGAGAGCCTTCATTTATAACAATTAGCCCCATGTTCTTTCTCAAAAGTTTACAGGAGTGACCTGTCAAAAACATTTTTGTTTTCAAAAATGTATTCCACAAAATACATTATAATATAACAAAGCATTTTTTCCTGTAAGAGAACTACAGACAGAATTATAAATAAGACTTCCCCAACTGAAATCAGTGGTAAAAAATTATACTGCATACTATAAAAATTAGACGTACAGGTACTACGTCAGAACAGCCAATCTTCCTTGCTGCAACTTGTGAGTTGTGCCATACTCAGTGGTGCTCAGCAGAAGGACAAGAAACATCTTGACAGAGAGTTACAGAAAAGAGCAAACAGATCTTCCTTAGCCTTGCAAATTTTTGGAATGTAACTTGCATTTCATACAAGATTTGCATATATACAGATTCCCATTTTTTTCTTTTATTCTTTGATGTTTTAAACAGAATGTACACTGTATGCTAATGATGCAGGATGCCTAGATAAATATGCATCACCATTCTTATTGAAATGAAAATACTTGCATTACATGTATTGTCTCAAACCTGAAGGTACTAATGAAAATAACCTTAGATCAACTGTATCATGTGTATACAAAAAGGTCTTTAAGATTAATAATAGCAATAAAAAGAAATAATGCTTTATTTTGGGCACATATGTAGGTTATTGCAGAAGGGCTGATATGCCCACATGCAAAGAATATTAAATCTTAAAAGCAGCTTTCATGTACTACTATTTAAAAATACAGATTTATTGCTGCTGAAATTAGTTAATGTGTGAGGGGTTTTTTGGTTTTTTTTTCCCACTCCTTTATAATAAAAAAATAAAAGGAAATCTCTGATCAATGGTAAAGTTTATAGTACTTTAAAGTACAATATATATTGTTTTGCTTCAGTTAAGGTTATGGTCTCTACAAGCTTTCTTGGAAAGATGGAAAAATGCAGAATGGAAAATAAAAATACTTATTTTTCTTAGTATTATTCTTGCTGTCAAAACCCAAACAATGTACTCTTTTCAATTCATTGTAGATGCTAAAAAAAAAGTACAAATGCCTATTTTTGAATCCTCTCTAAGGTAATAAGTCTTTTTCTTGTTGTTACCGTTTTAAAAGAGGAAAAACCCAACACTCCCCTTTCTCCCGCTACCAGTGACCAAGAACTAAATTAACATTTAAATTCTGGAATGCCATATAACATTATTATTTTTACAAGATACCTTTCTGTTCTGAAAGCAATTTTATTCTAGCAACTTCTATAATTTCTAAATATGTAACAAACCCATCAAATACATGCAAATACGATACCAATGTTGATGGCAGTCTCTTGTTTGTCCCCAGTAAGTATCCAAATTTTTATATCTGCTTTCATGAGAGTCTCTATGGTTTCAGGCACTTTGTCTTGCAGTTTATCTTCAATTGCTGTTGCTCCAAGTAGCTGAAGATTCTGTGAACAGAAAATATTCAATATACGTAGGTTTTTTTTATTTAAATTCAGTTTTAATATTTTCATTTTCTTTTGTTTAACTTCCTGTATTTATGACTTGATTAATGCTCTCTAAATTCATGAATCAGATTTGGTATCAGCTAGCAAAGGTCCTCCAGTTTATTCCTATGAGCTTTAAGTTAAATAACTATGTGGCTTAACAAACTGCACAGTGAGACCACCCAAACTTCACCCATTATTCACAATGTCAGTGTTTGTTCAGCAACCGCTACGTCTTCCTGAGAGGCACCTCTCTGATTTGAAGACTTCAGGACTGCTATTATTATGTCTTCTCCCACTTGTAATGATTATTTTTTTCCCCAAAGTGAAGGGAAAAACCACCTATGAATTCATCTTAATCTTACAGAATCACAGAATCATAGAATAGTTA